TCCATCCATCCATCCATCCATCCATCCATCCATCCATCCATCCATCCATCCATCCATCCATCCATCCATCCATCCATCCATCCATCCATTGTCTTCTGCTTCATCTGAAGTTGGGTCAAAGGGGCAGCAGCTTGATCAGGGAAGCCCCACCCTCTTTCCCCCAGCCACCTCTTCCAGCTCTTCTGGGAGGACTCCATTGTGTTCCCAGGCCAGCTGAGAGACACAGTCTCTCCAGTGTGTCCTGGGTCTTCCTCTGGGTCTCCTCCCAGTTGAACATGCCTTAAGCACCTCACTATAGGGAGGTGTGCAGGAGGCATCCTTACCAGATGCCCGAACCACCTCAACTGACTTCTCTTGATGTGGAGGAGCAGCGACTCTACCCTGAGTGTCTCCTGGATAATTTAGCGTCTCACTCTGTTTCTAAGGGAGAGTCTAGCTACTCTGCGGAGAAAAATCATTTTTACCACTTGTATCCATGATCTTGTTCTTTTGGCCACTACCCAAAGTTTGTGACCACAGGTGAGGGTAACATAGACTCATCGGTAAACAGAGAGCTTTGCCTTACAGCTCAGCTCCCTCTCCACCACATTAGACCAGTACAGACCAATCCGTCACCTTCCCTTACTTGTGAACAAAGCCCCAAGATTCTTAACCTCCTCCACTTGAGGCAGAACTTCATCCCCAACCTGGAGAGAGCAATCCACCCTTTTCTGACTGAGGACCATGGACTCAGATTTGGAGGTGCTGATCCGCATCCCAGCCGCTGCACACTCAGCTGTGAACCACTCCAGTGAGAGCTGAAGATCCTGGCGCGATGACGCCAACAGAACCACATCATCTGCAAACAGCAGAGGTGAAATCCTGAGGCTACCGAACTGGACTCCCTCTGCCCCCTGGCTACACAAAGAAATTCTGTCCATATAAGTTATGAACAGAATTGGTGACAATGGGCAGCCCTGGAGTCCAACTCCCACTCTGAAGGGGTCTGACTTACTATCGGCAATGCAAAACAAACTCTTGCACCACTTGTATAGAGACTGAATAACAACGGCCCGTAACAACGGACCCACAATCCCATAATCCCATACTTACAGAGCACCTCTCACAGTGTACCTCAAGGAACATGGTCGAATGCCTTCTCCATGTCCACAGAACACATGTTGATTGGATTAGCAAACTCCCATGACCCCTCGAGGACCCTAGTGAGGGTAAAGACTTGGTTCAGTGTTCCACGGCCAGGATGGAACCCGCATTGTTCCTCCAAAATCTGAGGTTCGACCATCGATCGGACTCCATTCTCCATACCCAGAAAAGACCTTGCTGGGGAGGCTAAGGAGAGTGATGCCCCTGTAACTGGAGCACACCCTCTGGTCCCCCTTTTGAAGAGAGGAACCACCACCCCAGTCTGCCAATCCAGTGGCACTGCCACCGATGTCCAAATGATGTTCCAAAGGTGTGTCAACCAGGACAGCCCCACATCATCCAGAGACTTGAGGAAATCAGGCCAAATCCCATCCACCCGTGGAGCCCTCCCGCCGTGTAGCT